GGATGATTTGTTGTGAGCAAGATTTTTTTTTATCGAACCACAGGAAGCCATATCTATCATGTCTATTAGTTTGCAGTCTCTCTCGAACTGAAAATTTTCTCAAGAATCCAAAATGGCGGGTACTTCGCCGATAACAGAGAAAAAAGTACTCAAAAACTATCAACAAGAAATACCAAAAGCTTTCTCATTGAAGAATTGAACTAGGATATTGCATTTGTGAAGTTTCAAGCTTGCTAGTTATCATTTTAAGACGATGATTTTGCATCGAAAATAGTCTCGCCTTCCTCACCAGTCCAGCTCGATGATTATTCAGTACAGCTTCAACATGAAATCAGCTCAAATACTGGCTTTTTTCCACATTTATAGACAGCAAAAGGTATTTTTCTCTTTAAATGACAATGTTTTTATTGTTCAAATTCAAAGAAATTGCTTTAATATCATCGGGGTTTTTTATTAGTTAAAAATGACAAAGTACAAGTTTTGAAATTGARCTTTGTTTTGCTTCAATTTTTAGATTTCTTTTRTACGAAAGAAAGGSTAATAAAAACAAAATTTAAAGAATGCACCCATGTCATCTAAARTGCATTGCTATATAAATAATAATGTGATATCGCTAACCAAGAAGTAAAGAGCTTCCATARATATTWTTACAAAATACAYYGCAAATGTAGGACAATCACTATAGCAAAAAGATTATGGTTGATAGTTGATATATGATAAGATTATAGCAGACAGTGAAGGTTAACAATTAGTTTCCAGAAAAGAATATTGCGGTGCACGATAARAATTGAACTGCAAAGAAAACTAAGGTATTCTACGGCATATTTTACTTTCATATATAGTTACGTCAAAGTCACAATATTCATTGGAAATACAATTTTATCTTTTATTGAAAATCTTTTGCTAAGCTAGCCCGCATCACGCTTTACAAGCGTCTAGTTATTCTATTTAAATTCATTGATACCATTGATAGTGGAGCACCCCCGATAAGAGAAAATGGTAAACAATCGAGTCCTTTTTTTCAAGGACCGATACTGGGTTCCCGATCGTACGGTTCCGTATGTCCTTCCTTTCACCACAGGAAATCCAATTCGAATGCTTCAATCTTACTTATATGTCAAATATCAACCAATTGAATTCCGTTAATACCGGCGAAAAATTCTACTCGCCAGCGGTACGAMTGCCACCATACAGATTGAATATTAATGATCGAATCTGAGGCACATGATTTCCATGAAGAGGATCAGCTCTCTACCGAAAGCTCAACTTGATATTATTTTTATTTAAAAAGATGATTGYGCGCGCTTTTATTACGTCTTCTAAAACTCATGAATTATTCATTAGACATTCTTCCAATAAGAATTCGACTATGGGTCACATGACAGAACCTATAACTCAAGTTAAAAACACTGATTAATTAAAAATGAGTTTTAAAACTAACTGATTCAGTTAGTTATAACACTCATGCATAAAACATCAGTGTTGTAACTGMTTTACAGACACTCGATGTGTGCCCAACACTAGAAAMGTTCTCAGTGTAAGACTCTCATCATAGAACTTTACTAGGTTTCAAGTTGAAATGTACTTATTGCAGAGTAATAGTACACTAAAACATAGTGGCGCTTGGATGTGGGAAACCAAGTTGATTACTGCGCATGCTCAGATGGAGCTATCTTCATCAATTATTCATTTTTGATATTTTTTTATTTATTTCATGTTAAACTAAAATATTGTAGTTTCTTAGGTTTGGGTTTTAGAAGTCATTTAAAAAACTCGTAGTTCGTGTTTTATCGTGGATATAAACATATCTCACGATAAAACGCTCCTACTCGTTTTTTAGTCGGACTAGCCGAAGGCTAGGTCGACTTTAGTTTTACCTTTTAGCCAATCTATCAATCTATCTATATTATCAATCTATCTGTATTATGTCGCGTTTGGACCACCGGAAGTTAAGAATTTAATAATTAACTATTGGGTTGGCTGTGTTATTACATGACTGGAAGCTCAAGCGTATTGATGTACGAATATCGTTAGTAAATGTTATAAGCTACTTGGCTTTTATATGACAAAAAAACTATTCGTTTACAAATGTGGTATCTGTGATCTCATCGGAATGCATCTGTCTAGGCATTAGAAGTACGCGCATGTGCAGATCGCATAGAGTTTCGAGTTGTATGCTTACAA